TTTACTTACAATTTGTAAATTATACCTTTGTTACAAGTTCAGTCTCATAATCGTTTTAATGGCCTACTTATCTACTTTTGCGATGTTGTCACACGTAAAACACGATCTTTTTAAGAAGCGCAAATGTCATGCAGAGTATGCAACATGCATACACCATCCCAAGACAATAGGTGTCTCAAGTTGAAAAAGTACTTAAACTTAATTACAAACTTCAAAACATGACATTTCAAAAAATGACATTGCCACAAAATTTTAAATATGAAATCGATGCATTTTATTATTCGTGTAATCTTTCATTCGAATAAAAAATAGTGTTCGATACGAGGGCGAAAATTTGTTTTTCGAACTCCAGACGGATTGACAGTCAAACGATAGTCAAACGCCGTCGTCATTCGAAAAACGACATTTTTCGCCCTTGTATCGAAAACTACTATTAAACAGTCGTGTAACGTGCGCTTTTAGTGATAACTGTAATTGATCAACGAGGCAAATTTAAATAAACCTGCACCTTTTTCTTGCTGAGGTTCAAATCTAGGTCGGATCCTCGTTGCTCTAAATCTTCTCTTATATCGACTACGCTGTTCCTGGCTGGCAAAGGCGAAAAAACTTTTAAAACAGTTGTTCTGGACCATTGTCCTCAACTACTAAACTAAATTGTGTTTTTGTAACTCATCACATTTAATCTTGTTTGATCATTCCACTTTGCAAATTACCTGCTTGGCGACCTTGCACTGATTAAAAAAATCAGCGAATGGCACCGGTTTGGGCAGAACAACTGTGTTCCGTATTTTTGTAGTTTGAATCGCCTGTCTCGGACTCATGAGCATGATGGTACTGATGTGAATGTGGGCCATTCCATATTGTCACTGCTGTTTGCGAAATAGAATCAGTAAAAAATAAACCAGATTAGAAACTCAAAGAGCTCATTTGCAACGTTCACTTGTCGTCAAGAAGTCATTTAATTTCAAGTATACGAGTTAGTAGATGCTTAATGAGCAACCAAACAGATGTTTAGCGAATACTGTTTCGTCTAATTGAAGAAATTCTTCAAGCCTTACTTAAAATTACCGCTTATTCTCATTCAATCCATCAGCTAAGAAGCCATCTTGATTAGTTAAAATTTTCTTCACCTCTGTCCAATTTGAGTAATTTTCCATTAGGAAATGGTGTTTGTAAATTGCGCTCTTTAGGTGCTCATCGGAAAGGCAGTAAAGTTCGTTTTATGCCATAAAACCGAGTATTTGCTGAATACGCTGTTTATGAGCACGTTTCCATGAAGTGCTCAGTTGGTAGAAGGTATATTTAGAGCCGGACATGACTCATTTTGATCTCTTTATGCCAGCACGAAAAAGAACCAACTGCATAGTAGCGGACTGCCAAGCTATTATTAACTAACGTCGGAAATTTGTTTTTGTCAGTGTTTTTTTTATACATTTTGCATTTCATATGCAGTGCATTTGTATTGCTTCAATATGCTTTGTATTGTTCAATAATCATTTCAAACTCTTTTTACGAAATACCGATTTAGTGGCATCAAAAGTCGATAATTGATGTGCGGTAACTTTCGTCATAAATTAGCTAATTTACTGGTAAAGAAGAACATAATAGGAATTATTATATTGCGACATGTCATTAGGTAAACTGCTATTTACCGTTGCTTGCAGGAGCAAATCGTTATTGGCAAATCAAGTAAATTTTGCCCGAGAAAATAAAATGAGTTTTCTATCTTTCATTGCCTCCTCAAACAACAATTTCTGTCATGCAACAATATGTATGTCTTTATAATGAATAACGAACCAACATAAAAAAATAGATTGAAAAATACTTTTATCGCATGCATAGAAAGTCCTATATGAGCAATTCACACTGGAAAAGGAACACATGTTAGTCAAATTGAACCAGATGTTTGGCCAGAATGTTTTATTTTTATTACTAGTCAACTGCTTGATCGCTTGATATAACAAGCATTTGCACTGTCTGTTAAAAGTACATGCTTGGATGGGTTTTCCGTTGTTATGTAACGATACTATTGATTATTTTAAATCATCTCATTTTTATAAAGTCCCGAAAGTAGACATATTATTGATTGATCAGCTTAACAGCGTACATATTACTTCATTTCTATGCACATTTGTATTGGACTGAGTTATTAGGTGCTTTGCAACCCCCTAAACCAATGCACATTTTATTAATAATTTGTCTAAAATGCAAACACATTTAAGGAATGAGGCGGAGAATGCATATGATTCTCCGAAATGGAAATCCAAATTTAATAGCTGATATCAAGCGTTTTAGAAAACAGACACATTCTTTATTCTTAATATCTAATTTGGTTGTTTCATCATGATTAATTCTGCTCTCTCTGACGATGGGTCAATATTTACATTTATCTGATTTTCCCATTTATTCATAATTCGATGGTAGAAAGCCTTATGTAAATGCCTCCTCTCGAATCAAAGAGCAAAGCGATCATCTTTCACCGGTATCCAACTGTGTGGAAACAATAGAGGATATCAGCGTCGGCTTTGATTGAATGCACATCGTTTAAATAGTTTTAGTTTTCAGAATGTAATTAAAGTGTAAGGAGAGTAGGTACGAGAAAGATATTTAAAAAAAAAATTTCGAAAATTTCTCTAAGATATTAACAGTTAAAAATCGAATTTCAACTTTGTTATTAAGCATTGTTTTTAAATGGTCCCACGTTTGATTGGTAGCCTATTGGAATAGTTCAGCATTCGGAAAGAAAAATTACCATTTTTGGCTCAAATTACGAAAATTTCTTATAGTAAAAAAGTAGGTACTCTTCGACAATTTTTTTATGAAAAGTCAAAGCGGCAATGATGTTTTGAAATATTATAATTTAGCAAATAACTATATCTATTAGTTCTTCTTCCAACGTGGCATCACAATCTATGAGGTCATTAGTTTACCCAAGAATTTCATTCAAACTGTGTATTGATGGCAAGTTATCAATAAGTCAATTGATTAATGTAGGATATTTATTAAGATTTTAAGTTGTAGTAAGTAAGTAATAACACCAAGTCAATTTCATGGAATTTTTTGTTGAATCGGAATTCACCTTGAGTTCATTAGGAATAAACATACGGTTTCTACGTCCTTTAGACATCAACAAATCGGCAATTTTCGTGCCTCTTTAAACACATAAATTACCAGAATTATATTTGCATCATCCTTCCGCCATTTGTTGCGCTTGATAGAATGGATAACAAACAATAAGCGTATAAATCGAGAAATAATTAAGTTTTGTTAAACTTCAAATATCAATAGTAACGAAGATTTTGAATTTAGCATGCCTCTGTTTGAGGTGAAACTGTACAGGAAGCATGCATCGAATTAGAACCAATCAATTAGTGTGTTGCCACTTTGCAACTCTTAGAAATAAAAATGAGAAACTTAAAATTTTGGAAATATACATAATGATTGGTTCAAATTAAACCTTATCATGGAAAATTATTCACGACAAGCTGTTTTGGTTGTAAACTCTGTAATCCGAAGCAAATCCATAACTAACGGTACATTACGTATGTATAATCGTATGAAGACACCAACCAACATAGATGGTCTTATTAATAATGGTGCACCGCATCCGTCTGAAGGAAGGAAACGATTTGTCTAACTGCAACTCTAGTTTTTAACTGCGCTGGGAACTTGGACCCAATATCCATTCACACAGTCCGTGATTAGTAAGTGCGTAACTGGTTTAAGACTACTTATTATCCTGCAAACCCACATTTACGGTGCCTTCAGCACTAGAAACTTTATTGTTCTTGAATAAATATCCCTAAATAAACTTTTTTTAGCTTTTTCTATCGACGCACATACCGACTATAAGTATATACATTTCCTTAACGGTTCTTTAAATGTTATCCCGACGCTCAATGATGCGGTTAATTAAATATAAACTACTACGTGAATATCCGAAAAAAGATGATGAGTAAACTTGAAGGTTACTACAACACAAGACTTGAATTAAGCAAATTCCATCAAGGCTTTGTTAGGCATCAAAATAGATTCGAAGAAGCCATCGTCATGTTTAGCAGATGAACCGAAGGTTGCCTCTTTGGGTCGGTTTTAGTTAATAGAAAAAGCTCGAAACAGAAACAGAAGTTCGTCATTGAACAGTCGCATTTTTTCCAAGTCCATGTAATTTGAGGTTGTAATGACCACTCTATAGGTACTTAGGTGAAACAGTTTAGGTAAAACCAAACCATCTTTTTGTAAGTGGCCGCAAAAACAATCCAAAATATTTCAAATTGTTACCATCCATAGAATGAAGATAAAATATGCTAGATGGGTACGACCTTTGCAAGTACGATTTTATGCAAGTACGGCAAAGCAAAGGTGCTATTATAAATGTCGCAACTCAAGTGGGTCAACACCACCTTTGTCTTTTACTAATAGGTGTTTAGGTGATTGTGATTTAGGTTTTGAAGAACTGGCGCCATTCAAAATTGTTATTTCGTAAGCTTTACATGCGGTCATAATTGTTGGAGTTGCGATAAAACCATCATATTTGTTTAAATAGTGCAACAAAAACTCGCTTTTCAGGTGTATTTTACATTGTAATGCTGATAACGAAACTGTGCGATTTTTTCTGTTTCGATAACAATTCGTGTCAATGCTAATTTATGTAATTTCAATGCTGTGGGCGTTTTATTGAATAAGTACTTATTAATAAACCATTTTTATGTATCACCAGTAGACATTATTGTTAATTGTAGTCGAAAAGCATCCTGTTCATCAATCAATGGTTTATACGCACGTTTTTAGTTAAACTTTTCAGGTTTTTTAAATTAAGGGGTAGTACCAAAACAGTATTACGTGTCTAAGCAAAGTATGCAAACAATCCTCCTACCAGCATCAAATTTCGTTTTATTTAATTAATTATCCTGTTGTACCATCAGTTGTGCTGAAGCATTTGAATAAGGCCCATAAACATGTTACGGCTGCAGTGTTTCATCATTTTACTGTTAAGTATGTATAAATAGTGACTCATTTTGTGGAACATTAGTTTCCCCATTTGCAAAGGGATGTGGGAACTATATCAGATGCATAGTAGTTTAAATGTGCAAAACAAACTAATTTTCGACTGGGTATAACTAACATTCATTGTATATACTTTCCTGACTGTGTTTCCATTCCAAATCAAAATCAATTCCTGGGTTTCAGTCATTTATCAATTAAAACACGTTTCGGTGTATTCTTCCACCATCATCAGTTTTTACGTGTAGCGTTGTTGCTGCTTTAAGCCTTGGCATGCATATTTTTGCGTGCGAAAATATGCATGCCAAGGCTTAAAGCAGCTACAACGCTACACGTAAAAACTGATGATGGTGGAAAAATACACCGAAACGTGTTTTAATTGATAAATGACTGAAACCCAGGAATTGATTTTGATAACTAACATTGCCAGTAGTATAACAGCAATTATATCGCATACACAGGGTGTCTAAAAAAATAACTTTTTTGCTCTCTGATTTTTTCCTTGTGTTGCCTTCATGATTGACCAAAACTGCAATCTTGCCTATTTAACTGTTTCGCATTTACCTTACTTTAAGAGAGCCGTGTGCCAACGGTCGTAATTGATTATCATGAATTTTTAGTTGCAAATTCAAGCTGCGACCGAAAACTGTGGACCTACACTGCAAACGTTCGGGACAAGCAAAATTGGGTGGAAGGTAAACATCAGGAACATTGCAATGGTCTAATTTTCCCAGAAACTGGATCCTTAAACGATTTTGTCATTGGGCAAATAAGCGTTAAAAGTGTAGTGCTACCCAGACGAGGCGATGTAGGCCTTTATCCAGGCTCTAGAATTATCTTTGATGAGAACAGCCCGGATCTGATTAATTGCGTCAAGTTGAAACCAGTAGATGCCAAGTTTTGGGACGATATCAGAGGTTGGAAAGACTTAGAAGATCCAGGCAACCCTGCAATTCCCTACCACGAACGTCTGCCTTCACGGTAATCTGAAAAAAAACCATCACGAGATCCGATATCAACTGGACCATTTTAGCATGCTTCATAGAAACTTCAAGTTCATCGCTGTATGAATTTGGACTGAAATCATTCGGTAGTTTCTTAGCAATTAACTTTGTACAGTGTCTGAACTTTTTTCTCTGTAGTACCAAAGTTTTCAAAAAGCCATTTCTTTAAAAATGTTTTCTCGGTTTAACCCGTTTCCCAACTTTAATCCAATTGGATATTCGAAGAAAATAGAACATTGACTTGTTCATACAGGTATGACGACGTGATCTTCAATGATGTGATGGATTCCCGCATACTCTCGATGCTTCGTGATTCTCCGGTGAAAAGCATCATAGTGCTGAAGGGTAATTCCGAAGATCTAATGTTATCGCACTTATATTCAAACGGCAAGTTCATAATTACAAACGACACATGCTCAGATCCCACTGGATGTTCTTTAAGCCAGATGGAAGTCCCGTACCAAAATGATGTCTGTTATTACGCCTCCATGGTAGAGCCGAGTCATAACTGTGAAAGTCCGATAGTCCCATGGGGATTTTGCCAAATTCCTAGATGTGGTATGTGAGTTTCGAATAAACACATCGCTGATTAAACGAATAATCTTTATTTAGGTGCATCGATTCTCATTAGAAATCTTAAAGTTGGATTTCGGCTGGAGAGAATTAAAAACAAGTTGCGGGATTACAAGAGTTTCACTCATGCCAGCAAAGTCCCGGGTTCCAGGCACGTGCAGGTCGTTTTTGCAGAAGTCAATTTTACTGCGGTCAGTTTGGACGAGGCCCGAGATTTCTACAATTTGCTTCAGGCAGGTAGGTTAAAGGCCGGGTCACATCTATCCGATCCGTCTCCGTTTTTGTATCCGATCATGTTCCGATTTTGCTGGCTATTCGATGGGTATTTGCTATCCGATTGTCGGAAGGAAAAACGGTACAGTAAGCTGTAGATATTTAAATATTTTGATTGGGCTTACAGAATTTTACTGATAGAAAACAAAAACAAACTCAATTATTAATAATGCACATGATTCGTCGCAAGTATTAATTTATATTACTGTTTACACAGCAACTGTATGTAAGGACTCTGGCAAGGAATATTGGAAAAATAACTACTAAAGTGTACATTGTAAACTGTTTTTGGAAATTTCTTTACTACTTCAGGTTTTGATGTTTTAATTCAACCCCTCATTTTGTAGACATTTTTATTCTCTACAAATCATCTCGTTGGGCATTCCGATTACTCCATTATTATATAATATTATAAACAAAAAGACAAAAATCGCATCGCGTCGAATTTTTGGCAATAAATTGTTAATAACTAACATATGGACCGGAAATACGAGTGGAAAACAAATCCCTATTAATCTGATTATCTTTTATATAATCGCACAATTAGTTTGCTACTAGT